ATAAACATTGGAAAGAATGAGATGCTCCCCATTATTGCACTGAAACACAATTGAACCTCTTCCTTGAATATTGATGACTGATCCATCACCAAATTTCACTCTTCCTTGTATTGACCGATCCAAGTCTATGAACCAACCTTTATTTCCAGTCATGTGATTACTAGATCCTGTGTCTAAGTACCATCCTGATTCACCTCTTGTGACTATGTTTGCAAAATTTGCTTTTGCTTCACAGAATTTCACATATGGTATGGATACTGCATAAGTTTCAGCCATCAATAAGGCAGGCTCCTCAATATCTTCTTGCTCAGTAACGTTAGCTTGTTCTTCCTTTCCTTCTGACGGACATTCTGATGCAAAATGCCCCATTTTCTCGCAGTTATAACATTTAATCTTTGACTTGTCAAATTTTTTCTTCTGTTATGTCTCTTCTTCCTTTCTTGGAGTGCAATTACCACCTCTTTCTCTACCTCGTCCTCTGCCTCGTCCACCTCTAGACCCTCCATGGTCTTTTGATGTCCTTTTTTGACTTTCTTCTTGTTCTCTTGCCCTCCATTCTGCTTGGGTAAGAAGGACAGTATCATCATCATTTGTTCCATACCCTTGCAGCCTCTCTTCATGAGCTTTCAGTGACCCAATGACTGCATCCATGGTTTTAGTCTTCAAATCACCAAACTCTTCGATGGTTGATGCAATTTGAAGAAATTTAGGAGAGGTTGTTCTCAAAAATTTCTTTACAACCTTCTTCTCTTCAACAGTGTTGTCCAAGGTCCTTAGTTTGCTGACCACTATTTGCAACTTCCGTGAGTATTCATCTATGTTATCACCATCATTCATCTTCATGGTTTCGAATTCTCTCCACAATGTTTGGGTTCTGACTTCCTTCACTTTGTCAGCCCCAAGATCATTGTCTTCAACATGGTCCATGCTTCCTTTGCAGTTCTTTTGGCACCAAGTTGAAGTAATGTATCTTCACTTATGCCTTGATATATTGCAGCTAAGGCCATCTTGTCTTTTTGTACCTCAACAGCCTCTTCAGATTCCACAGCATCCCACACCCCCTGAGCAATCATGAACACTTCCATCTTGATTGCCCAGGCTGTATAATTGGGTTTGGTGAGCATGGGATAACGTAAACTGATTGTCTCTCGTCTGTCTTGTGATGTTCCTTCTTCACTTGAAACTGATGCCATGATGGATCCACCGTAGGCTCTGATACCAAATGAAAGATACTCCCTCCGTTCCATTAGAAGGTTCCCGTCCACTATTCTCATGGTCAACTTAAATCATTTTTAATCTTTTACTTTATAAATCAAATTTTTACCAAATTTACAATTTTTTATCAGGCTTTGCGGCGGTTTTAATGTAGTTTCTGAATATGTTAAGTTTATTTACTAAAAATAATCAGAGTGTGAACATGGATTAAGTTACTTTATCGTCAGTCAAGCATCGTAAACCGTTCACGGGAACCTTCTAGCGGGACGGAGGGAGTATAACACTAACAACAACTATGTAAAGATACTCACACTACGCTATGAAGTAAAGGATTGCAGAAGCATACGCACACTGATGTTCTGTCATTTTTTTTTCATTTTCTTTGTAGAGGAAAAACCCATTCTTAAAATAGATAAAAAAACCTCTACGACACACGCACTCTATATACATGAAGTTCATACGCACACACCCAAGGAAGTTACCCCATTTGCTAACTGCCACTTCCCACGTTGTTACATGCATGGGCTTCGTGGGGGTGGCTTTACGAGAACATGCACACGTAAAAGACAAACACAACTAACTGAACTTTTGACAAAGTAAACTAACACTATGACATGGACTTCAGCTGCACCAAAAACACTGATCAAGTTTAGCTTACATCCTTGGCGGTTGACAATTTCCTAACAACATACAACGGTCTTCTTTCTCTCCCTCTCTCTTTTTCCCTTACGTATATAGTTATTTGTTCGGTCGTTTTTTTAACATGGTCGGCTAGGGGAACGAAGTCCATATTTATATACATATATGTTGGTGCGATCCCAAAGTTTCTGATGCTTACTATTTTGTTTGTTTTGATCAAAGTTGTCCAAGTATTGGGATGATTCAACTAATTACTTGCTGCGTGGATGGTTATGTATACTTGGCATGTGTTTGAGCTGTATGAACGTATGTGTGTGTGTCGTAATCTGCATGTATTCCAAATATTATGTTTTTGTTTTGTTTTGTTTTTATAAATATGTATATATGTCGATCTTGTAGTACTATATACCACCTCTGTCTCAAATTGATTTGCAAATTTCACTTTTCTTGGCCAAACAGTTTTATTTTATTTGCTTAATTAGCATGTCAATTTTTTATTATATTTTAATTTGAAGTTTGCAACTTTGAAGAGATTTTAATGTAGTTTCTGAATATGTAAATTTAATTATTAAAAAATGAGTTAAGTATCGATGGGGAGGATTGATTTTTATTATTGATTGACCAAAAAATGTTGATTTTGCAAACAATTTGGGACGGAGGGAGTATGTATATAAACGCATGTATGTATATATGGATGTAGTAGTATATCTATACATATATACGTACATGGGTATTACAATCTGAAATGTCAACTTATTTAATACTACATATGTATTTATTATTATTATAATTATTTGTGTGCATATTTTGAATTGGCCTCATTTTATTGTAAAAGATACTTTTATTATTTTAGTTAGGTTTTATACTTTTTAGAATTTTATTTGATTAAGATTAACATTATTAATAATTCAACTTATGATATAGAAATATTTATTTTTATTTTATTAAACACAATATTTATTTTATTTCATTTAAATTTTCGAAATGTCACAATCACACACTCAATACTTGCACACACTGGCCTGAGGCCTCATACCAACCACGTGGAGAGATCATTGACCTCAGACAAGCACACACAATAGGATAAATATGAAAGTAGAGGCCTCATAGCAACACAAACACACTTCACAGTTTCATCATTGACCTCATACAAGCATCGCACACTCAACACTATGCACACACCGACCTGAGGTCTCACACCAATCACAGAGACATATCATTGACCTCATAAAAGTACACACAATAGGATGAATATGAAAGTACTGGCCTGAGGCCTCATAGCAACACAAACACACTTCACGGTTTCATCATTGACCTCATACAAGCATCACGAGCACAACTATTAGTTTATCATTGACCTTAGACTCCATGATGGCAATCCACTTATTCATGCAGAGTTGCATGTCGGGAGGCCGGTAATTTCACAGATCCGCATCAAGGAGCATTGTCTCTGGCTCAATCGAAGGACATGCTTTCTCAGTTTCATCAAACTGATCTTTAGAGCGGGGTCAATCTGATCTGCAAGAGACACCAAACACTCTTGCTCATGACGGACAATCAGGGTTCCGGCCAATGCCAACTGCCAAATCGGGGTTCCAGCCGACGGTGACTGCCAAATCGGGCTTCCAGTTGACGACGACTACCAAATCGGGGATCCAACCGACGGATCTCTGGAGTCTAGAACAACTACGATGTCCACCTTTGCATCTACCAACCATTTTTGTTTCACTTCGTCCGTAGCACCTGACTTGCCATGGAGAAGGTGGAATATCAACAGGGGAAGATGGGTGGATGAAGTAAATGGAGAAGGTAGAATACGAAAAGATGGAGTGTTGCGAGTGGGGTGAAGTAAATGGAGAATGTGGAATACGAATAGGGAAGAGGGGAAGAGGTGGGGCGAAGTAAATGAGGGTAGCAAATTTACAAAAAGTGGAGTAGTGTGGTGGGTGGGAGAGGTAAATGAAGAGGCAGGGTAGAAATTAAATGAGGGTAGGAAGATTTTTTTGTGTGAATTTTATTTCCTAAAATAGAAAGGATCCTTTTATATAGGGACAACCTAAAAAGGAAACAGAGCCTTTTATTTAGATACGAAGGGAGTATTAATTTTATTTAGTTTATAAAAAAAATAATTATATAAAACAGGTAAAATAGGATTCTTAAGTAAATTCAGTTATAAAAGTAACTCCAAAATTGTAATAAAAATGTTCAAAAAGGAAAAATTAAAATTTGAACTTAATAAAAACGGGTATTAGCCCTAAATAGGCGTAAAATAAGCCCAAAATTCAACATTAGGAGTACAATCCTTTTATTCTCAATATAGGACTAATATATATCTCTTCTTCCCATTCTACCCCCTTCCTATAATTTCCAATAGATTTATTTTATTAATAAGAAAATCATAGTTTTATTTATAAAAAATATAAAAAATAATAAAATATTTATAAAATAATAATGAAAACGTGAAAAAAATAAAATAAAAAATAAAAAATAAAAAATTATAAATAAATTATTTATTTTTTTAAAAAAATTCCAAAAAATAAAATAAAATACCTAAAAAATATTTAAAAAATATGTACGTCACTGCCAACGCGCCCTCTACCTCCCAGCACCACCGACTCCGGTCGCCGGGAAAAAATGACATCTTGTGTAAAAATGCACATTTATCTGAAAATGCCATAAAGATGACATTTTTACTCTTTGAAAATATCCAACGTTCTCTTGCTTTTTCTTCAAAATTTCCATCATGATGACATTTTTTCCCAACTTGTCAATCTTTTCCAGTGACCTGAGGTGGCAGTGCTGGAAGGTGGGTGAGGTGGTGGTTGAGGTCTATATATTTTTTAATTATTTTTTAGGATTTTTATTTTTGATTTTTTTATATTTTATAATGATTGTTTAAAAATCCTATTATCAAGGAAAAAGGAAAGGGTAGAATAGGAAGAGTTAGTCCTATTTTTGGAATTTAAACTTTAAACTCATATTGTTGCAATTATCCTTTTATTTACTCAGGTAAATATCCATAATAAAAACTTAAATAAAAACCTTCCAAAAAAACTTAATTAAAAAGCAAAGCAATTTGTTTGACTAGTAAAGCCGACCGGAGATGCTATATTGGAGCGATGACAGATGTTAAAAGCGATGGTAATCTCCATTATCAGGGGCCTGCAGAAAATTGTCTTCCCCAAGCAATGGAAACATGCTTATGGTGCTGGCATATAATTGAGCTGAAACAGCGGGGATTACAGAACAATCAAACCACTTTTAAGCCCATCCGTATAAATCGCTCCTTCCCACGCAGAATGTTCTTTTTATGCAGTGACCATGTCGACGCTGCCAGGGGCACTTTCGGCGTGCAAAATCCCCGCCGTTGACGCATATCCACAAACACCCGGCAGTCACTTCCCCTTTTCCCATCTCAACTTAGCAACTGCCATTGGCCGCCGGAGCGTCGGCCTTTCATCCCATTCTTCGAGGAAGGTTCCAGTTCGTGCTGTCATCCTCGAGGAGCCCAAGTCCCATCTGGTTGCGTTCTTGCCCAGCCTCACCGACCGTTTCCGGCTTGGGAGTTTGTCGGAAGACGGCTTGTCTTATAAGGAGAAGTTCATTGTTCGCTGCTATGAGGTCGGAATTAACAAAACTGCCACTATTGAAAGCATTGCCAATCTACTGCAGGTACTCTCCTTCCCTATTATAACAAGTAGAACTTTGGTTTCGTCGATAGACGATAACGATGATTGAGTTTATGCATACTAACTAGTACTAGTCTGGATTTCATTTGTAAATGCCGGATTTCAGGCATACATACATACGTAGTATATTGTTTTGATCCATGCCTAAAACAACAGTTTTGATCCTGAGTTATGTTTAAAAAGATCAACCGATATTTTGGATTGAGGTTTTAAATTAAATGAAAGGAAAGAAATCAGATGGAATCGAAATGGGGCCTGCTATATCACTGCATAGTAATGAACTACTTTCTGATTATATTTTACTACCTCCCCGCTCAACATGAAGGTACCTTTTCAGTTTTGATGCTTAACAAATTATAAAGTTAATGTTAAGTCTACCATGATAATATTTAAATCAGTAAAAAATTAAAGTTCACATATTTGGAAACTATAATAAAGTAATCTTGAATCACAAAACTCCAATAAATATATGATACAAGTTCAACATGTAAAACCGGAGAGTAGAATGGAGTTGTGTTAAGGGTAGGAATAGTGGACTAGAACTTCACTCTGGGATGGCGCCATGGCGGTAGTATTTATATTTCAAGTTACTACAAACAAGATCGGAGTCAGACATGGAGGATTTTAGAGTTAGTCACGGTCCAGTTCTGGAACAGAACCGGGACCATTGGTTATTATTTTTCTCGAAGTTAGTTGGAATTCCAATCGGCAATCAGAACAAGTGTAGGGATGGTCCCTTTCTAGGTAGTCTGTATACGGGCAAAACTCAGATAGTTCTGGTCGTAATGATGTATTTTTAGCTCAATATTGCTATATTTTAGAATGATTTAAAACAGGGTTATGAAGTGGACCCGAAACCTAGAAGACTCGAAACCAGCACCGGTTAGCCCAGTTCTTGTTAAGTTATTTCAATTTGAGCACCTAAGCTAACCAGACCAGAACAGACTGGAACCAATCTGTATACATCCCTACCTGCCACTACGTGTGAGACTATGTGAGAGTTGGTACTTAGTAATTTTACTCTGTGAATCTAATTTATGAATTTTTAGGATGATCTATATTCTCCAATTGTCACAGATTTATCTGAATTTGGTTGTATAGGAGGTGGCATGCAACCATGCTCAAAGTGTAGGATTTTCAACAGACGGGTTTTCAACCACACTTACTATGAGAAAACTGCATCTAATATGGGTCACTGCTCGCATGCATATTGAGGTTTATAAATACCCTGCTTGGTAATAACATTTATTTTCTACAGGTTTAGGATCACACGTAGTATACTATGTATTCTGGTTATAAGTATGATCTGTGTCGTATGTTATGGACAGGAGCGATGTTGTTGAGATAGAAACTTGGTGCCAGAGTGAGGGAAGAGTCGGTGCAAGACGTGATTGGGTTCTCAAAGACTATGCAAATGGTGAAGTCATCGGAAGGGCTACCAGGTGAGATGAGTTTGATCTTAAATCAACATTGTTGAGAAACTATATAATCGTAGTCTATGTAGATTTCTTTTTCACTTAAAACTTGCTTATCCTCTTGCTTTGTGTCTCATGGTATGATATGTAATTCCATCAAGAAACAGTACTTCTCTTCATGCTATATCTATACTTAAAGCTGAGCAAGTATCGTCAATTCACCACCGAGCACCTTAAGTTTTAAAATGGTGATTTACAAAGAGTTAACTTTTATGGGCTGTATATCATGGAGTTCAAGTTCCACTTATGCTAACTCCAATTAGTTTATTGAGCTTGTAAACATTATAGCTTGGTTGAAGGGAACTTCCAGAAATAAAAGTTCCTACCTACCTTTACACATAGGAATGTTTCCCCCCGTCCCCAATAGGAGAAGAAATTGTAAATTTTGACTATTTTACCACATAAGTATAAAGTATTATTGCTTGGGCAGCTTGGCCTTTATATACTACAACAAAGGGCATACTTTGCACTTTTAGTCTTTATTCCTTCCTTCCCTGATCATTCAAATTAATCATATTCCAACATACCATAATGCAGAATTTAGAATCTTTTGTTTCGCTTACCAAACAAGCCATTAGTATCTGAATTATGAAAATATGGAGTCACTTTTGCTTCTTTTCTGTTCAGCTTAGACTGATTGGTATTGAAGATAATTACGTATTTTTATATACTAACTGCAGCAAGTGGGTGATGATGAACGAGGACACGAGACGGCTTCAGAAAATCACTGATGATGTGCGTGAGGAGTATCTAATTTATTGTCCCATAACAACTAGGTAGTGCTCCTCATTTTTTTCTAATCAGTTGTACCTATAGTCACTTAAGAGTTAAGATTATTTGCATCATTTAACTAAGTCATTCATTGAGGCATGCCAGCAGTGTTGTGGAATGTTGGTACATCTCAGTTATGCGGATAAATTTTCTAAATTGATTTGTAAATCATGGAAGTGTCCATCTATACAAGCATATTTATAAATCATTTAAATGGAAGTTGATTTGATCGATTGCATTATGCATTCTCAAGTTGGCTCATGCCTATTTAATTCAATTTAAAACCTTTATATATATATGTTACATGAGTATAGAAGTATATTTTTCCTTTTGGTTACAATATCATGTATCAGTTCTTGTTAGCCAACCCCAAAATCTTTTGGGACTAAGGCTTGGAGGTTGTTGTTGAGTATAGAAGTAGTGAGGAATAAAACTCTTGATTTAGGGGTTCTGAGTACAGCACTGCAGCCAGAACGTCAATATACTATGCGGGTATGATCTACTAAAGTGTAGTAACTTCACTTCTCTTTAGCCTATTGTTATGTCACTTTTTTCTCATCAAGGAGTAGCTTAGCTGGACTTTTGGTCTTTTTGTTCCCTTATGGAGTTTTCTTCTGGGAGTGGGAGAGGGTTGCATCTTTTATTTTGGCTGGGATGAGGTTTAGGTTATGTATGGATCACAGAAAATTCCAAGGAAAGGAAAAGAACACTAAAGAAAGTTTTTATTATTATTTGAGTTTACTGTTTACCTTAGAAAATGCCCAGGAAATATACTTAGATTTGCCTTTATGCAACAAATATTAATCTGATAAAATGAGTTTTAGTAAATATCTAAAATGAACTTATTTGGAGTCTTATTGTTATTTCCCTGACTCCTAACTTATTTCCTTCTGTTGATTTAGGAAGAGGAGCCTTCTTGTATTTCTCATCTACAATCATACATTATGACTCCCATATATATAGGGAATAGGGAAGTAAATGATACATTAAAGGGCAAAAGAAAACTGAAAGTCATAAAGGAAAATGAAAAGTTAAGCTGCTGGAAAGTCTGGAATATAAAAAGGCATATGCTTTAAATGCTATTTCCAACACTCCCCCTCAAGCTGGAGCATATATATCATGGGCTCCAAGCTTGCTACATATATAATCTATTCTTGGTCTTCTAAGAGGCTTAGTGAGCACATCTGCCAATTGATCCTTTGAATTCACAAAAGTGGTGATGATGTCTCCAGATTTGATCTTGTCTCTAACGAAATGACAGTCCACTTCTATATGTTTGGTTCTTTCATGAAAAACTGGATTCGTTGCAATGTGTAGGGCTGCTTGGTTATCACATATAAACCTCATGGGTCTGAATTTGCAGAAATTGAGTTCGGAAAGAAGATTCTTAACCCAAATTAGCTCACATGATCCAAAAGCCATCGCACGATATTCGGCTTCTGCACTTGATCGTGCCACCACATCTTGTTTCTTACTCTTCCAAGAGATCAAGTTTCCACCCAAAAGTATACAATAACCTGTGGTGGATCTTCGATTCCATGGGCAGCCAGCCCAATCTGCGTCAGTATAGCCCACAATTTCTGTGTGTCCGTGATTCTGGTATAACAACCCTGTACCTGGTGCTTGTTTAATGTATCTTAAGATGCGAGTAACAGCATTCCAGTGGCTCTCACACGGTGATTGTAAAAACTGACTTGCGACACTTACAGCAAATGAGATGTCAGGACGTGTAATAGTGAGGTAAAGAAGTTTTCCAACAAGTCTTCTATATCTACCAGGATTTGATAAAGGCTCCCCCTGTCCCGGTAGAAGCTTGTCATTAGGATCCATCGGCGTATCAATTGGCTTACAGTTTGTCATACCAGCTTCTTCAAGAATATCTAAAGCATACTTTCTTTGTGATATGTACACACCTTGTTTTGACTGTGCAACTTCAATACCAAGAAAGTATCTCAATTTGCCGAGATCTTTTGTTTCAAAATGCTGAAATAAATGCTTCTTAAGAAGTTTTATTCCCTCTACGTCATCACCCGTGATCACAATATCATCCACGTAAACCACAAGATAGATATTAAGACCTTTTTGGATTCTGTAAAATACAGAATGGTCAACTTTACTTTGAATCATGTTAAATTTTTGTATCACTTCACTGAACCGTCCAAACCAAGCACGTGGGGACTGCTTCAACCCATACAATGAACGTTTGAGGCGGCAAACTAGATCAGCTCCCTCAGAAGCAATGAATCCCGGAGGTTGTTCCATATAAACCTCCTCCTTTAGATTTCCATGCAGGAATGCATTTTTTATATCCAATTGATGTAACGGCCACTGTCGTATTGCTGAAATAGCCAGTAAAGTGCGAACTGATGCTATTTTTGCAACAGGGGAGAATGTATCAGTATAGTCCATTCCAAACACTTGTGTGTATCCTTTGGCTACAAGTCTGGCTTTTAGCCGGTCTATCGTGACAGTAGGACCAACCTTGACTGTGTATAACCATCTGCAGCCGACCACAGGTTTATTTGGTGGTAGAGGCACAAGTTCCCATGTCCCTGAAGAGTGAAGGGCTTCCATTTCATCAAGCATGGCCCTTTTCCAACCTGGATGACTCAATGCTTCCTTGACACTTTTAGGAACAAAAACAGAAGAGAGACGTGTAATAAAGGCACAATATGATGGTGACAAATGATTGTATGAGAGGAAGTTATAGATAGGATAAGGATTTCGAGTGGATCTTTTACCAATTCTGCTGGCAATAGGAAGATCATTAGTTATCTCTTGGGCTGACTCTTGAGGTGACGATGGCTCAGCACATAAATCACTTGGATTACTATCTTCTTTTTCTGTTGGATGATGGTAAGACTTACTCGAACAATGTCGACGGTGATAGGTATAAGGGAACTCAATAAGATGGTTCTCTGGAATGTCACTGGGAGTTCCTTTTTCAGGGATGGCCCGGGATGCAGGTTCAGGTTCAAGGAAAGTATGGGACAGGCAGAACGGGTTCATGTTCTTTGAAAGGCTGCATAGGGACAATTTCTGTAGACTCGTCAGTAAAGTTCGATTTGTCAAGGGAAGAAGAATGAGAGAAAAATGGAGTAGACTCAAAGAAAGTGACATCAAAAGATGTATACATACGCTTTGACGTAGGACAGTAACATCGAAAGCCCTTTTGAAGACGAGAGTATCCCAAGAACACACACTTGATAGCTTTAGGAGAGAGTTTATCCCTTCCCGGAGTGATATCACGAATAAAACAAGTGCACCCAAACACCTTTAAAGGTAATTTGTGCAAAGGTTCATCAGGGAACAAAACATTGTAAGGAGTCTTTCCTTGTAGTATGTCAGAAGGCATGCGGTTTATGAGATAACAAGAGTGAAGAATGGCTTCCCCCCAAAGGTATTTAGGTACCTTGCAATGAATAAGCATGGTTCGGGCAGTTTCCACAAGGTGTCGATTCTTCCGTTCAGCCACTCCATTTTGTTGAGGAGTGTCTGGACAGGAAGATTCATGAAGGACCCCATGACTATCCAGAAATTTAGAGAAGGATTCGGAAAAATACTCCTTGGCATTGTCACTACGAATGGTTTTTATTACCACCCCAAACTGAGTTTTTATTTCATTGACAAATTTTTGAGATATATTGAAAAGTTCAGACCGATCTTTCATTAAATAGATCCAAGTACAACGAGAAAGTCATCAATAAATGTAACAAAGTACTGAAATCCAAAGATAGACTTAACTCGACTCGGTCCCCATACATCAGTATGAATTAGAGAAAAGGGAGCAACTGCTCGTTTATTTATCCTATTTTTGTAGGAAGCTTTAGATTGCTTTCCTAACTGACATGACTCACACTCGATTGATGAAACATTAGACATTGTAGGAACAAGTTGACGAAGCTTATTTAGGCTAGGATGACCAAATCGACTATGAAGAAGCAACGGTGTGGTAGAGGTGGCAGTGCAAACAATATTGGTGTTGGCTAGATGATATAACCCTTGTGATTCATATCCTGTGCCAATCGTCTTCCTCAATTGTCGGTCCTGCACAGTCACAGATTTATTGGAAAATATAATTTCACAATTAAGATGTGAAGTGAGTTTATGGACAGAGATCAAGTTGAATGGGCAATTAGGAATATACAATACAGAGGATAATGAGAGAGAAGGGAGTGGAGATGCATTTCCAATTCCCATAGCTTTACCTATTGACCCATCACCAAAGGTAACAGATGGAAGAGAATTGGAAAATGTCAAGCATGTAAAAAGTGAAGGATTACCAGAAATGTGATCGGTAGCACCTGAGTCAAAAATCCAAACAGGATTGGACTGAGAGGCCAAGGAAACATGAGTTTTGTCAGGTGTAATTGAGGTTCGAGCAGCCTTTAACTGATGGAATTCTTCATACTCAGACTGTGAGAGAACATGGGAACATTTAGTTTCCTTATTGACTTCAGCTACATTGACCGTGCTTGGTTTCCCATGTAGGTTCCAACATTGATCACGTGTGTGTCCTGGCTTGTTGCAATAATCACAAAAACGTTGCATACCTCTGCCACGGCCTCCTCCTCTTCCGTGAAGATTGTCTCTTCCTCTACCTCGACCACCCCGAGAGTGAGAAACAAAAGCAGAGTTATTTGCATTGTTGTCTTCTGTGACTGAGGTCCCTCGAAGTAGCCGAGTAAAAACTTCAGTAATGTTCGGCACAGTTTTCTCGCTCAAGATCTGACGTCGAACCTCTTCAAAACCCGCTCCTAGTTTGGAGAGTGTCAAGACTACCCAGAATTTTTCCCTTTGAGCTTGCTGTCTTTTAATGGATTCTTCCATTGGCATAAGTGTATTAAATTCTGTCATTAAGCCTTGAACTTTCCCTAAGAAAGTTTCCATTGACATCCCAGATTTTGTTATTTTTAAAATTTCATCAACAACTGAATAAAAGCGAGATATGTCATTTGTATAGAGAGACTTGGCTTGCTCCCAGACAGAAATACACGTCCTGAAAGGGCGGAACATTGGAACGATTTCTGGTGAGAGAGATTGCCATAAGATGCTGCAAAGTTGGGCATCAACGCGTTTCCAGACTTCTCTTTGATACTCAATTGAATCAGCTTCTGTGACCAAATGGTCATCCACTCCTTGTCCCATGAACCACAGTTCCACAGTACATGCCCAATCTTGATAATTTTGTGATCCAATAAGTTTATTATTGGTAATAGTAGGGTTTCCAGAAAGATTTGGGACGTAAACGGGAACATGAGTTTCTTCACTACTGCTTGTTACGACCATGATGAGAACCTTGAAGATTGATTCACCAGAAAATATGCTCAAAGTCCCCTCCACGTGCAGAAGGAATTTCAGACCATACCCATGGCTCTGATACCATGTTGATTTAGGAAGAGGAGCCTTCTTGTATTTCTCATCTACAATCATACATTATGACTCCCATATATATAGGGAATAGGGAAGTAAATGATACATTAAAGGGCAAAAGAAAACTGAAAGTCATAAAGGAAAATGAAAAATTAAGCTGCTGGAAAGTCTGGAATATAAAAAGGCATATGCTTTAAATGCTATTTCCAACACCTTCCATTTTCCTTTCTTTTTCCTTCTGTTTTCCCTTGATACAGAAAAATGTCTAGTCTTATTCTTGAGTCACAGGATGTGAGTTGTTGTAAAGCAAAACGGAAGACTGACGGAATAAAGTTCATTCATTTCCAGCTTGACTAAAAAAGTCACGATTCTATTTCTTTTGTTCAATTAAATCCACCACATTTTTGTCTTGTATGTTAGATTGATATGATGAGTGATGCAAAGAAACATTTAAATTTAGTCAATTACAAGTTTACAACAAACTAATTTTTCTACTTCATTTCATTTCCTTTTGTCTGCTCGTGTACTGTTATGCAATCCTTATTTTCTTTTAATTTAATGCTAGGTTAGCTTTCCCCGAGGCAAACAATACAAGTCTAAAGAAAATAGCTAAGCTGGAGGATCCTGCCCAGAGTTCCCGATTGGGACTGGTGGTGAGTAGACACTAGACTTACTAGTATCAATATGACTGGACACTTGGCTAACTTCTTTTTCACAAGACTTACATATATTTAGTGAATTTTGCAGCCAAGAAGAGCTGACTTGGATATGAACCACCATGTGAATAATGTCACCTACATTGGTTGGGTTCTCGAGGTTTCTTGACTTTTACTTAACCTCCCCCTGCATGCGACATGCACTCATTCACTCCTTATTATGAACCAGTTTTTTTCACACCAAGCAATAAATTAATTGAGGAATTTTATCAATCAAGGACCTGAAAGATAGAAGAATTATCAACCCGAAACCTGAAAGATGAAATGTATCGATATAGGATCCGAATGATGGAAAACTATCAATCTAGGACTTGAATGATTGAAAACTATCAATACAGGACCTAAGTTTTCATAAATCTTATTATTATTTTTTATTTTCAAAAATTTGAATATTATTTATTTTATTAAACTAATAAATTTTTGTGAAGAAAAATTCATCAAATATTAGCAATGGAATTAATAAAAAATTAAATAAATCAAATCCTATGAAATTTTAGATCCTAGATCGATAAATTTTCTATCTTTCAGGTCCTATATCAATATATTTCATCTTTCGGGTCCTGGATTGATAAATTTTCTATCTTTCGGGCCCTGAACTGATAAAATTCCAATGCCTTTGTTTTTCATATATATATGTTCTACATTTTATTAGAAAGTGTTATGTATTTTGATGAGTTCTTTTTTACAATAATGCAATTTCAATCATTTCAGTGAAATTCACTCTTACCAGACAAGCTCTTAATGTTATGTGCAGAGTATGCCTCAAGAAGCCATTGACACACATGAACTACAAACTATCACATTAGATTTCAGGCGTGAATGCCAACAAGGTGACGTGGTTGATTCCCTTACAAGCCTTGACAAGACCGTTTCATTAGAACCATCAAGAACTGATGGACAGCTTACTAATATGGCCAGTAAAACAGACAAGTGCTTCTTACATTTACTGAGCTTATCTGATAGTGGACTAGAGATAAATAGAGCCAGGACAGAGTGGAGAAGGAAGCCTCCCCAACAATAGTGTTATAGAGTTTGTTCAATCGGAGAACACCCTTGTCCTGTCCTTTGATTGTTGTTGTAAAATAAGCCCTGTACTTTAGCCCCCCTCCCCCTCTTCCTTTGTTGTGGACACATTGTGCTTGAAACAGGTATCTTTAAATGTGTAGTAAATTATTTAGTTTGTGTTAAAATAAATATAAATACTTACCCCCCCCCCCCCCATATATAGTGTCATTGAGAGAATTCCAAAAATAATAGTAAAGCATTACTGTTTTTCTTAAATAAGAGTATTATGTCTTTTCCTGAATAAGAGTAAATGGTGTCATGGTGCCTATGTTTTACTATAATTTAGAGCAATTTCTAAAAGAAATACTGAAGAGATGAAAACAAAACAAAGTATTTTATTTGGATCTAAAGCAAAGAGTGATCAATATACTTGCAAGAACTTATGTAGAGTTTGACATACAAAAAAACAGATTAGAAACCCTGTAACTTTGCAACATAGCAGTAGTGATTATCATCATGAAGTAGACCAAGATGGAAGAAACTGAAGTGGTACATATGTTCCTCTTTTCTTCTACCGCCAGGGAAAGCAACATTTCTACGTGGAAAAGAGGCAAACAGAGTATGAGAAAGGGAAATTCCTGTTGCTTAGGACATAGGAGCATGATACAAACAGGCCTTCTAGTTGGCATACCTGAGAAGGGTGTTCTTGTTTTTTAGCATTATACGACGGTTGAGTAGGTCTGTGAGGCCCGTTTGTTGAATCTTGCTGCTTCGCCTTTCGCACTTTGTTAAAAATCTCGGTATAGTTTTGAGGATTGATGTCATCCCACTCTCCAAACCTTGGAACTTCTGCTGCTTCGGGCTGTCAAAACAGAAAGCACCAACTTGAGCAACCCAAGTATTTTGACTTTTATTTAATGTTTGTTGTGAAAAATATCAAAAAATTACCAATTTGGTTAAATATAAAAGAACAATTCAGCATATAAGACTGTGATTTGTGATACTCCTATTAGAATAACTTTTTATAGGATTGAATTTGAAGTATTCATGTGGATAGAGTAACTTTGGAAATAACTTTTTGCAGTTCGTTTCTTTCTTTCTTTCTTTCTTTCATACCCATGGTTTGAGAATTGAGACTAACTTTGGTTATTCATCCAAGTTAAGTTGTGCAGCCCATTTGAAGGATGCCCGACCGACTAAATATAAAGTAATAACTCAACTTATACAAGCAATGGAAGTCTTAATAGTGTTGGATTAATCCCTTAACAAAATGAAACTCACACTTTGACTTGGCTTTAGCTTGGATCTCCCAGTAGAACCATGGCTTCTGTTATGAGACTTTCTAGGACTGGCATCAGCCTTTGCCATGAGCCTGGTGGCAGCACCACGCGTCAATGGTTCCTCCCGCTTGGACGGGGTAGTCGCTGGATCCTCAACAGCAGAGGGGAACATGTTCTGGAACATGTCCCGGAACTGTTGGGGATCATTTGGATTTATAGCTTTCCCGTCTTTATATTTTCTTGCCTGCTCAAAGTACACCGTGTATGGTTCGTTTTTTTTCTCCCAGTCTCCGAACCTTGGCACATTTGGACGCTGCAAATTTCGAATTGCAACTTCTATTCATTAGCTTGTAATCTATTTTTCTCAAAAATCATAGCAGACTACTAAGATTTGGCCGGGTTTTATATTAAAAAACGTTGATCAAATACGAAGCGTGAATTCTATATGTTCTTTAATACTTATACTTAACTGATGTGAGACAAATACTTCAAGTACTAAATGAAGAGTCTTTTAGAGCAAAGTGCATTCTTTGATCACATGAATTAATGGTAAGACTGGCAGCTGGAAAATATCATAACAATGGAAAAAAATTCAAGAAGAATTGATAGAGCTTGAAGGAGTTGACTTACAGCCATACTTCCTTGCCAAGCTGTTCTTGGTCAAAGTGGAAAGCACACAAATGGCTTTGATCTTCAAGAAACCAAAACCAACCTTTTGAACTTCTAAGGAGTACTATAGATACAATCACAAGAGAGTAGTAGAATATATATATATATACACACACAATCTCAGCCCAGCATCATACTTGTACACCCTGACTTCATGCTACTTGTATGACTTAGCCTCTTGCTACTGAGTCAAAACAACTAAAAACTATTCCCATCTCTCTGAATTCTTCAAACCCAAAAGGCCAAAACGTACGTTTTTGAATAACATTACTCCGTACTAGGTATGGTGCTATGCTTGGTCCTACATATGGCTGGTCAATGATGAAACTTTCAAAGTTCAAACGCCGGAAGGGCTTCAATTGTCAAAATTGACTTTTCAGTTTTCATTATTCGGAATATTATTTTGGAGAGAATTTAGCAATTTGTATAGTCTAAAAGTGAGAGTTCTATTTTGCTCACCCTCCCGGAAGAATATGGACATAACTATCCATGAGTGTTGATTTGTACGTAGTGCTTTTTAATTTTAAACAAATAGTGGGTGAACAAAGTAGATCTCTAAAAGTTGACACTATTGTTGATACAATGATACCGTACTAGTGAACAAATAAATCTCGACATTTGAAGTGATTATCTAGTACCCAATTGAGCCCATTTGATAGTACTGAAATTGGCTGAATCGACTCATTCTGCTGAAATTTATGAAGTTTTGATTGAAGTGATTGCATTGCCTGATTCTGCTTATTCATGAAAAAATTATACTCCTATTTAAAATATTTTTTATAAATAAAATAAAGAAAAAATATACTAGTATGAAAAAATAACTTCAGCCAATACAACCAGTGAACCAGAAAAACAACTTCAACCTTAACTTTTCTTATTATTACACAATTAAGCGGGCGAAATCAAAAGTTACGTGTTTAGTGAAAAAGTTAGAGATAATCTTTTTAGCCAAAAAACAGTGACACCAAACGGGCTCATAGTTAACTTAGATATTCGGTCTCACAATTATGTTCAGAGTTTGACCTCAAATTTGAACGTTTTACTCTTAGTAAGATTTGATGTATTATCACCCAGGGACGGATCCAGTATTTCGAGTCAAGGGGGGCGAAAATTTTCGTTAGTGTAGGAGATAAAAAATTCATTAGTGTCGCGGGGTGATTTTTTTTTCTAGTGTAGCGGGGCGAATTTTTTCACTAGTGTAAGGCTCTGCGGCTATTTTTATTCAAAAAAAATTCATTAATACATACGTGACGACATTTAAATCTATATATTACATTCTAAGTTTAGACAATGACAAAATAACTTTAATTTTATAATTGGAGTGTTCTAGAAAAAAGTATTGATACATTAAAGCATAAGAAATGACAAATCAATGGAAAATAATACAAAAATAAAAAAGGATATATAACATTTTATTTAAATATAAAGAGTTTATAAGGTTCACATTCACGAGTACTTTTAAAATAATTTCAACATTGTTTAACTACATGAGTCTTATAGAAATAAAGAATTGATTTTTGAATTACAATTTTTGTCTATCATTGAGGGTGTTCATAAGTCACAAGCAGTTCTTTTAATATTACAATAGTATGTATGATATTATTATTTTTAGAATAATATTATATTGATAATTCATATATATAGTGCATATTATATTTGTATTAATGCTAAAATAATTAAATTTTATTATCTATGCAATAAAGTCTTTTTAGAATGTAAGAAGTAAATGAATAGTGTAATTCAATGTCAATAAACATTTATAATTTGGATTACTTCACATGATCTAAAAACTTTGTAGCTAGAGTGTCTGGTATTTAATATCGTTTGATATATATTTTTCAAAATTATTTACTAGTTATCGAATAAAGATAATTAAACATTACAAAACTAAGAATTTTTATATAATAAGTATCCTACATCTCAAATAATGAGTTCTTCTATTGTTTATTTAAGTTATGTAAATTATTTTAGATGTTCCTTTTTTAAGTCTCCGATGAAGTATTACATTATGTAAGACTATATATCAATTTTAAAAACTAAAAGTTAAGGGGGGCAATGTTCAACAAAAAAAAATAAGGGGGGCGAATCTAATTAAAGTATCAAAATTTTACAAAAACATTACATATATAGTAGAAAATTTTGAAAGTCCAAGGGGGGCGGTCGCACCCCCCCCCCCCCCTTAAATCCATCCCTGTTATCACCTACACAACTACACGCCTACACCCCACACTTTTAATAATGGGTGAATTCCATAAATAGGAATAAAAAGGTTTTGAAATTCCAAAATAGGAGTATCATGTTTTTTATTCTTTGAATATGAGTAATTTTTTGCCAAATTTGGCATTACTAGCCCTATGTGGGACAATTAATTATACTGTCCATGAGTGTTGATTTGTACTTTTTAATTTTAAACAAATGGACGGTGAACAAAGTAGATCTCTAAATGTTGACACTATTGTACGTTGATACAATGATACTAGTGAACACAAAATATTATCGTGTCAAACTTTTTGCACCAACTTAATAATATAAAATGAATAAATTGTTCAAAATATGAGTAAAACGTAGATAAAGCTTAAAATATGAGTAAAACGTAGATAAAGCTTAAAATATGAGTAAAACGTAGATAAAGCTCAAAATAGTACTAATTATATTTTCACTCTCAAAATATGACTCGTTTAGACTTATAAAAAGAATAAAATAATAAATACTTCCCCAAATAGGTGTGAATGAGATTTATGTTTAAAAAACACTACTCCGTACTTTTTAAGAAAGTATGCTATATTTTCTCTATTACTAGCTTATGCATGTGTATAGGATGATTTTGTTGAAAAAATGTGTTAAAAATTGCATTAAATGGTCATTTTGGGGCAATTATTTGAGTGGGGTCTACTTCCGATTTAGGTCGGGTCAAAGTGGTTTCGAATTGTCCTTGTTAAGGAATACAATTCGATATGTGGTACACTCAAAACGGATAACGGGTGAATGAGAAATTGATTCTCGAAGTTCACTCGTTGAAATGGCAAAACTGGGAAAATGATGGGTTTCTAGTGTGTTTTATCCCACACCGGAAAACTCAAAGGATTTTCACCCCCTTATAAAGGCAAGCCTCTTTGAAGGAGTTAAGATTCCTAAAGGTAAAGACTCTCTCTTACGCGCAGGGGGGGGGGGGGGTGCCGATCAAATCCCGAAACGGAGAAGAAAAACCGCGACTCGTGTGCGCGGGCGACCTGCGGACACGAATGTCGTCCGAAAATCTATCATTAAATAACTCCTCACAACGGGTGTTATCACTGTTGACTACGTCAAGTCAAAGGATAACATAGTGGATCCGCTAACTAAGGCATTGGATAGAGAATTGTTGGAGAAGTTGTCACGAGGAATGGGACTAAAGCCCGTTGAATTGAAAAGTTCTATAGTGGATACCCAACCTAGTTGGTCCTAGGTTCAAAAGGGACAACTAAATTATAGAGCGAAGGATGGTCACTGTGGGGGTCCCGGACTCCTACCCACTCCTCGTTAAAACAGTGACTCACGCACGAGGTTAGCAAAAACGTTTGCTTTAATGATTCTAAAATGTTGATCTACTCGATAACATTGGAAGAGTATGCGCGATACTCGTGAAAGAATCATCTATGTGAGAGAGAAGAGGGTCGCTTCAAAGGATAACTGTATAGGCTCGGTTCTTTAGAAACTCTTGCAGAACCAGGACGGTGACCCATGGCCAAAACGGGCACACCCATGAGAATTCTATCGATCACTTCTTTCTCTGTGCCTCATCATCATCCATCTCTCTCGTATCATCTTTTTCGCAATAAACTTCCCCTCTCTCAGGGATGTTGGCTGGTTCTCCATCACCGTCGCTGGCCGGATCTCCATCGCCGCCGCTGGTTCTCTGCAACACACCGCCTCTTTGTGTCGCTAGTTCTCCATCACTCCATCGCCACTCCCATTTTCCAGGTTTTTTCTCCTCCTCCTCCTCCTCCTCCTCCTCTCATTCTTCTCGTTCTTCTTCTTCTTCTCATTCTTCTTCACATCCATCTTCTTCTTCTTCGTCTTCTTCTTCTTCTTCTTCTTCTTCATCTTCCTTCTCCGTTTTTCGTTTAAAAGGTCAAATTACTCACTGGTTTTGTTTTTTTTTGGTGGAAATTTTTGATTTGATTCAATTTGTTGAGTTTTGGCATCAACTTTTCTGATTTTTGGGCATTAATTTCATAGTTCATATTTCTGATTTCAAGAAATTTTCCATTTCAGTAAAAACCATGTTTTTCAGATTTTGGATATAGAGTTCATATTTTGCCAAATTTCTGGCAGATTCATGTAAAATGTTATGGCAGAAACTTATAGTTTGACATCGATTTGAGAGTATTGCCAACTATATGGCAGATTTGCATATGAAACTATGACAAAAAAATATTGCTTTCATTGAAATCTGCCAAATGTAATGAAGGAACTGCCAATATAGTGTTCATTTTTCTTATAAAAGATGGCAAAATTATTTTTTATGTTGTCAATAATATGTTTTTTTGCCGCAAGATGGCATTTTCAATGAAAATCGACAGTGGCGGTGTCGGAAGTGACGACTTCGATGGTGACGGGTGTGGCGGCCCCGGGAGTGGGGGCGCTAGAAGTGGCTGCGACGGCATCTGGAGTGGCGGCGATGGAAGTGGCTGCAACGACATTTGGAGTGTTGGAGGCAGTAGTGGAACCTAGGGTTTTAGAAAGTTTGTTTTCTCGTCGTTTAGGCCCGTGAGTTAGATTTCTGTTCATTGCAGTCACATCCGGGGTTCTCCCCCGTTCTTTTTGAGTTACAATGCTCAACATTTCACATTTGGCAACGCACATCTTTGACCGTAATTATATCTTAATTCTATTAGTAAAAAATATTAAAAATCAGATTTTGAAAATTTGTAATGAGATATGATGAATTGAACAATAATTTTTTTTTTTAAAAATTATCATAAAATAATAGCGTAAAATGTAATCAAAGTAGAGCATGTGAATGGTGTAAAATTCAACATGTTGCGATTAAAACAGAACGCATGATAGTATGTAATGTACATTCCCGAGCAATGTACATGCGGGGATGCTAGTAAACTACGAAGTACCATATATAAAGATAGGGAAAATTCTCGAAATAGGAGTAAACAAGTTTGAACATTTCAAAATAGGACTAACATGTTTTTATTTCCAAAATAGGAGTAATTACTGCCAAGTTTGGAAAATACTGGCATGTTTAAAGTCTGGTACTG